CCCGGAGGTTGGTAAGAGACGTATGTATTGAAATGGCCGTGGGGCATCCATCGATGTCTTTCTCTCCCGCAGAGCTGGCCTTCCCGCCTACCACAAACGTGTTCTACGCCATGAACAGCTCCTGCCAGGACTTCATGCTCCGGGCCAAGCAGGGGAAGCCAGCCCCAGTGGCCCCGCCGCCCCCGCCTAGGACCCCCACGCCTAAGGGGGTGGAAATCAGCGCCACTTTCCCAAAGATCAAAGCCACCGGGCGCAAGATTGCCAAAGCCCTCTTCTGAAGCAGAGAAGGCAGCCCCTCGATGACGGACGAGCCCGGGCACCACCCAGTCGGCGCGGCAAACAGAGACCTATTTTTAACCTGCTCCCGAGGGGGGGGGAGAGGAAATGGGTGGGCTGCCTGCCCCTGTTGGGATTTGCCAACAGCCGCCTTGACTTGGGGCGTCCGCCCTGGCCAAACTGGAAGGTTCCTGCTCTCCGTTCTGGCAGCTGCTTTCGCCCTGGAGACCGACTGGAGTTTCCTGAAGCTTTCAGGTGGGTGGGCTGCCTGCCCCTGTTGGGATTTGCCAACAGCCGCCTTGACTTGGGGCGTCCGCCCTGGCCAAACTGGAAGGTTCCTGCTCTCCGTTCTGGCAGCTGCTTTCGCCCTGGAGACCGACTGGAGTTTCCTGAAGCTTTCAGGAATGTGACGCATTTTGCACTTGGTGCCAGGAAGAATTTTACATGGCTGTTTTTGGCACCAGCCAGCCAGAGCTGCATGGATGACATCCTCCCCCTACCCCTCCCCACAGCTGCTGACACAACAGCTACTTCTCGCCCCAGAAGGTGCCCCGTTTTGATGCTTCCTGAGTTGGGTGCCTTTTCTGCGTTCGAGTTGGATGCCCACCTGACGTGCCTTAATTGTGACACAGTGGCCAAAAGACAGAACTTTCCCAAGACACACACACCCTTCCTGCCTTAGCTGGAAATGCCTGCTATTTTTGCTCCTTCCGGGGCAGGCGCTCTGATCCTCTGCTCATCCTTTCTAGTTATCCAGTAGGGCCTCCGGTATCCATAGGGGGTCAGTTCCAATCCCCCTCCCCGCGGATGCTGAAAAACGTGGAAGCATGAAACAGAATAGATACTGCATGGTCTCTGGCACCCTCTAGGGGCCAGTTCAGAGAAATACGGTATTTTCAGCCCAGCGGATAAGTGAATCAGTGGATGGGCGGGTCCTGCTGTCCACCTCTAAGCACAGGTGGGCATCCATGGAGCCACGCAAAAGGAGAATGACTGCTTTACGTTCATACGCCCAAAGAAGGCACCAGAAGAGGCAAGAAGGGGTTTCCTCAGGGAATCTTAGCTGGATGCTGAGATGCGTTAATTGGCCCCCCCTTCCAACGCTGCTGCTGTTGCCTGCCCCCCCTCTTACGAAGTCTGTGCAGCAGAGCCTGGCTCTGCTTTGCTTCTCAATACAATTTAACACTAATTTCCTTTTTTTAAAAAGGCAGACACTACTGAATGAGGCCAAGGCAGAAGTTAATCTCTCTTAGAAAATGAGGATGCACTGTTACCGACGAGGAGAGGAGGGTCAAAGGCCACCCCGGGACCGTTACCGACGAGGAGGGTCAAAGGCCACCCCGGCTGATCCTTAGCTCTGTTTACTAGAAGCACCGCCAGCCCAAGTGGGAGAGTTTGCCATCCGTTCTCTCTCTTTTTTTCTTTCCCTTTTTTTTGGCATCCAGTCCTTGATTACAGCAAAACACTCACAAATTCTTTGACCACCTCACGTTGGGGGGGGGGGACCGGCCTTCCAACTGCTCTGCTGGAGGGCAGGAAGAAACACAACAGGTGCAGTTCGACCTGTTGAGCAGCTTCCTGTCCCAGTTGCAAGGGGAGAAAACATCAGATAAAAAAAGAGTAACTTTCGCAAGGCCTAGGTGAGCTGGACGGATAATGGTCACAAAGCCGTTCATAGCCCACTGGAGCCACAGACCTCTTCTCTCTCGAGTCCCCCCACCCCAAATGTTTACTCCTGCCTCTGAGAGAGAGAAAAAGCCTTTTTATTGAAGAATGTGATATGCTTGTGTGTTTGATGGTCTCAGGCCCTCTGAATGGAGGGTGCCCTTCTTTCTATAAAATAAAAAACAAGCTTTGTGATATAAAGAGTTGTTAGTGTTGTGTGAGAACAGGCAGGTCCCATTTTCCATCTCTGACTCAAGAGTGCCATGTTTGTCATCAATGGTAAGAGTACCTCTGAGTGCATACAAAGTGTGGATCAGATCCTCCCATCACTGCCCAAGAGCAGAGCGTGGTCTCCTCCAGGCACGGGTACGTCTCCCTCATATTTCTGCATCCGGCCATCCTTCCACAAAAGATTACAGGCCCTGCTAGCAGAAGATTCGGAAAGGCGGGGAGATGGCAGTTCATCGCCTGGTTCAACCTCTGCTTCCACCTTTTCCCCCCATCCGGGATCTGGGATTCCACGTTTTGCCTCTGTTACCTGTAGGCACGGAACCCTGTCAACACACCGGGGGCTAATTTTTGCATCCAGAAGAGCAGGGCCAAGATCCAGCTCCCAAAAAGGCACTGCTGGGAAGCCTTCTCAAGTCCAAAAAGGCTGGAGGGCAGCTCTCGAGATGCCATGAAAACAGCTCGGCAAGCCCCTCCCTGAGGGAGGTGAAAGGGGAGGGTTGCCAGCCCTGCGTCCCTTCTAGAGATGGGCACGAACCACTAGTTCAAGCGAGTTCGCTTATTGGCCAAACAAGAGTTTGTTTGTTTGTTTAGCACTTCCCAATCCTACCTCCTCCAGCAGGTGCCCACTGAGTGGTCGCCTGCTGGAGGAGGCAGGGCTGGGAAGCGCTGATGAACGAACCAGTGGTTCGTGCCCATCTTTTAGCTGCTTTCTTTATCAGCTCTCACTCAAAAGGTTTGGGGTCTCTTACTGTCCTCAGGCCTCTGCATCTCCTTTAGAGGAGGAAGGACAAGTAGAAGGCAGGATCCCAACCTCCATCCCCACCCACCCCCAAACAACCAAACAACTGTGGAATGGGCACAAGAGGGAGACTAATTTTATTTCAAAGAGATGGCACCCTAGTGGCCTGCAGAGACATCAAGAGGAAAGCCGGCTGCCCCACACCCACACCCACAGTCCTGCCCCACGGTGCCCCACGGCCACCTTCAAGCCTTGAGGGCCACTTTGGCCTGGGCCTTCTGGAACTCCTGCTGCAGCCGCGCCAACACCTCCCGCTGCTGGTCCGACTTCTTATCGTACTCCTGCATCTGGGCCTCGTAGCGCTTGCTGGGAACAGATGGAGAGGGGGCAGTAGTCAGTGGGGCCAGGAAGCACCAGCCATTTCTGGAGGGGCCCTACAATGTTTCTCAAGGCACATGCTCTTTTCCCTTGTCCAACCGTCCTTGCTCAGCAGCATCAGGTTCAAGGGAGGCGAGAACTCCCAATTTTGCTTTCCTTGGAGCCTCGGGACCAAACCTGTCTCTCTGCAGCTCCTCCGGATGACCTCACCCCCTCCTCCTTTGGGACTTCCCATTCCCTCTAAAAAGTCTAGCTCAGTGAGTTAGGTCTCTGGCTGTGGAGTCAGAGGCTGGGAGTTTGATTCTCCCCTCTGCTTCCTGGGAGAAGAGCTAGCCTGGGTGGCCCTGGGCCAGCTGCACAGTCCCCTGGATCAACCCCAGAAGAAAGGGATGAGAAATGACTGCTGAATATTCTCTTCCGTGGAAAATAAGAGAATACTCAGCCGAGAGCGGCCCACTCCCTAAGGCCAGACTCTCGTTAATTCAGCAAGAGAACCTGCCCCTTTCTTAGGTCAAACGAGCATCCTGCCCGGCCCGATACTGGCTCCACTGGCTACCCAGGGGCAAAGAAGCCCTTTTTCCATCCCCTTGATCCTTCCGCTGGTGGTATTCTGTCTTGGAAATTGTGGAAAGACAGGAAGCTGCCAGGAAAACCGTCCTCTGTCGCTCTCTTCTTCCAGCCACTCACTCTCTCTCTTTCTCAGAGGGAGGCCGCCTCTGCACCCAGAGGTTCCTCAGCGGGAAGGCTGAGCCACCTCTTCCAGCCCGAGGACCAAACTCGGTTTCGGAAACATTCTGCAATTCTGAGGGTGAGCAAGGCTGAAAAAGGCAGGACCGGGGCTGCCCCTACGTCAGGATCAGAGATGAGAGGGGTTGCTGAGCCATCCCATCTTCTCCTGTCTTGTGAGTCTGCCTGCCCCCCCATCCATCCATTCCCCCGCCCCCCCTTCAAGACTGACTCACATTTCCCCTGTGATGTAATCCAGCCTTTTCCCGACAGTGGCTTTTGCCTCGTCCATGTCCTGCTTCACCAGGACTGGCCCGATCAGCTTGTAGACGGTGTTAGAGGAGTCTAAGAGGTCCAACTCCTAGAAAGGACAGCCACATCTCCCCTTCGCCCTTAATGACATCTAACTCCACCTCTTACTCTTACTCTATCCATGACTGGTCATGGGTCCTGCAAAAGAGACACCCCAGGAAAATCTGCAGAAGGGCTATTCCTCTTGGTTAAAAACAATATTTCTGTACTATCTTATGGGTGTCCACCTCTCTCTTTTAACAAAAGGCAGAGAGCGCTTTATAGCCTCAACGTCTGCCTTGGCTTCTTCTTTTTTAAAACAAGTCAGCCTGCAGGAAGGGGGTTCTTTCACCTGCTTTGTGTTTCTTTCACAGGACTGAGATTTAGCTCCGTTGGAAAACGTAAGGCAATTCAAACCTCCCAAAGGAGAGCTTCTTTTTGAACGTATAATAGATGACCGAAGCCTCACCTTACAGCATGTCCTTCAGTCACATCACATACAGTACATAGAGGGGACACCTGGAACTGAAACTCCATGGATGAGTGGTTCCCAACCTGGGGTCCACAGATGTTTTTGGACTAAAACTCCCAGAAGCCTTCACCACGAGTTGTGCCGGCCAGGATCTTTGGGAGTTGTAGTCCAAGAACATCTGGAGGCCCAAGGTTGAGAACCACTGCCGCAGATACTTGAGTCCTTCTTGGGCCATGGACACATCCATGGTGAACCCCCTTGTTTGACATCTGGGTCTAGGTTCACAAAGCCCCCGCACAGCTTAGGAACTTCCTTACCTCCGTGATAAGTTACTCCACCCCACCCCACCCCACCACCGCCACAGTCCCCCTGGGTCAACTGAAGACACCACCTCCGAATCATCCATCCTTTCTTGAAGTATCCCATTAAAAAATATCATGTTATGGAAGAAATGACCTTTCTGCAGCTGTTGGAACTTCTCCAGTTCCCCCTGAATCTTCTTCTGCACCGCCTCAGCCATCTTTTCACCCGGCGTCTTCTCCCTACGGCTGAAGTGGCTTCTCCTGCAAAGAAACCGAGAGGGAATGCCACGTTGGGCACGGTGCACAGAAGGTCAGCCAAGCTGTACAGCTGGAAACAACCTCATCCAGCTGTGGATGCAGGAAAACCACAGGCTGGAGCATCCCCCTCCCAGGTGGAACCCAACACATGGTTCAAAATGTCTGAACGAGGAGCTGCCGAGAACAAGCTTCTGCCTATTTCCACATGACTGCTCTTCAGATATTTGAAAATGGCCATTATACTACAGTGGTGCCTCGCATAACGAGCGCACCGTTTAACGATGAATCCGCATAGCGATGTATTTTTTGGGGATCGCTAATGCGATTGCATTGCGATGTTTTAATAGCCTAAACATCGCATTGCGATGATCGGTAAGCGTTTCGCTTACTGAGGATTGCATTGTGATGTTTCCAGAACAGCTGATCGGCGGTTCCAAAATGGCCGCCGCAACCATTTTCGCGCTATTTCCTTGCTTACCGAGGCGGCGAATATGGCGGTACTATGGAGGATCTTCGCATAACAGTGAGTTTTCGCCCCATAGGAACCCATTAAACGAAGTTTAATGCGTTTCTATGGGGTTCCCCCCACACACATTGCAATGTTTCCGGATAGCGATGATTAATCCGGAACGGATTAATCATCGCTATGCGGGGCACCACTGTACTTCCCTTTTCCAGAATAACCCAGAAACCTCAATTTGTTCCTTACAGGGCTTGGTTTCCAGATCCTTTACCCTGCTGGTCACCCTCCTCTGGACATCCTCCAGCTCATTCGTATTCTTCTTAACTGGACTGCCCAGAATTAAGACACTGGATTGTAGATGAAGACATGAACTTTGGGCACACGGTTCTAGACCCTTTTCCACGTGCAATACAGCCATGTTGGCCATTGTACTCTTCATATATCTGTGTGCCTGTTTTTTCATAAAAGAGCCTAAATGTACACTTTTATGATTTCCCCCTTTTTCTTTAAAATCATTTTCTTTTGACCCAGTTCTATCTGTTTATGTCACCTTGAATCCTCATTGCCTTCTTCTGATACTCTTTTGAAGTATCAGCTACTACCCCAGTTTGGTGTCACCCTCAAATTTCATAAGCATCCCCTTCCAGTTTTTAACCTGAATCATTTATAAAGAAGTCAAACTTTACAAGGCCCAGGTTTTTTTACAGTAAAGGCAGTGCTTTATATTTTCACTAGACGCTGTTCCAAGACCTCTATTCAGAGCATGTTATCATAGTCTCTTGTGACTGAAGGATGCCTACTACTACTACTATATTTCCATAACCCACAATTGCTATCTCTGTTTGGACATTGCTGAAATCCTTTTATTATTTATACCCTGCAAAGCTTTCTCCAGAAGAGGACTCCAAGCAGCTTACAATATTAAAACAGACAATATTAAAAGTCAGGAATACAATAAATTCTTACAATTTTAAAACAAATCAGTCATCAGTATCATATTTCAAATTAGCTTAAATAATTTTAAAAGCATATTTAAAAGATAGACAAACAGCCTTATTAAAAAGAAAAAAAAACCCTCACATGCAGCCAGTTACTGGGGTGGGGGCCGGTGGGTGGGGGAGCCTGCCTTAAAAGAAAGCTCTTCGCCCACTGGCAAAAGGGCACCAAAACGGGGGCCAGTCTGAGTTTCTTGTGGGAGGGAGTTCCACCGCTTCCAGCAGCAACTCCCGAGGAATTTAAATTTAATTATATGCCATGTTAGTTCATAAGAAGCCACCTTGAGACCACATCAGAGGCAATGTAGGTCCATCTTAGCCATCGTCCATGGCCTTGACTAACCGAGCTTCAAGAAGCTGGCCTTCTGGGGAAGGGATTATGGGTGTTGTAGTCCAAATGGAAAGGAACTTGGAGTTACAAATCATCTCCTTTAAGCAGAGGGCAACGACTGGGCGGCCCATGGGCCACTGAGCCGGAGGCTGCTGTTGCTGTAGCTCACTGAGGATGATGGGGCTGCTCCTCAACCCTGATCCTCTTTCCCCTCCTCTTCCTCCTTGTGGGTCTTCATCCCATCAAACGGATGTCTTCCCCCGGCCACCCAAGCAAACCATGTGGCTACCTGGATACTGGCCATGCTGGCCTTCTGGGTGGGTGTACTGGGGTGCACGCTTTGTGTGTGTGTGTGGGGGGGTTGTAGCCCACTCGCTCCTCCCCCAAATTGGGACTTGTCCCGTTTCTGTTGATTTTTTAAAATAACATTTATCCCTTTTAAGGTTGACTCACTGCCTTCCTGACTGGGGGGAGGGAGAACAGCCTGCAAGACTAATCCCCCAGAAACCCCCGCAAAACAAACCCCCCCCCCCCCAAGTTGATCCCTGTTTTTAGGTCTTTCAGACCCCCACCCTATATCCCCACTGAATTGGGGTAGGTTTTAAATACTCCCATTCTGCTTCCTCCCCACAAGATCTCAGACCCCCCCAACTATGGGGGGGGAAGGGGGCCACCATCACACAAAGACACCCCCCCCAAAAAAAAACACCCCTTCGTGGCTGGAGGGAGGAAAGGGCCCCCTCCCATTCTTCCAGAGACAACCCCACCTCCATGTGCCACTTCTGTCCCTCACTCACCTTCTCCTCCAGCCCCGCCTGCTGGCGCCGCTGACCTCTCACCCCGGAAATGGGGACCCCCCTCCCTGCACGCAGCCAGGTGGCGTTGCCAAGGGTACCGCTAGCTCTCCTCAACCCACGCCGTTCTCTCCCGGTCCCGGAAAGCGCACGGCGGGCAGGTGGAAACGGAGGAGCCGAAGGAGGAGGAGTCCGTGACGTTCTCCTCCCCTAGCGCTGCCCGCACTTCCGCCCGGTCCCAAGATGGCGGGGAACCATAGAGATGCCAGGGTCTCTGGGAGTTAAAACAGGTCTCTGTGGCTAGAGCGTCCCGGCGGAAGAGGAGGGAAGCTTTGACGTCCGAAGGTTCAGGCCCACCATGTTTGGTGTTTTATTGGGACTTCAACTCCCAGAATTCCTCAGCTCTTTGCCTTAGCCTTCTGGGAGATGAAGTCCTATACATAGGGAAACAAAAGCACGGGGCAAACAAGACAGAAGAAGCACAAAGCTGGGGAAACCTACCACTCTGGGTTACATCTCCCATCATCCCCCAGCTACCCTGAGGCACTAGCCAGCTATGGAGGCTGGGAGCCTCTAATATAAACAACGTTTTTTCCCCCAAATTGCTACAACTATCAAATATTCCCAGCCCAGTAAAGGTGATGCTTGGCTGGGGATGCTGGTTCTTGCAGTGAAAATGCTTTGGGGAGAGAGGTGGGGTAAACGTATTGTAAATAAATAAATAAATAATGCATTTGTCTAAAGTTTTTTTTTAAAAAAATTAAAAACGTTACCTCTCTTTCTTTCTTTTTGGCTATGTTGGAGTCTAGGAGGCATATTGTTTAGATGTTTGTTTTTAAACTAACTGTTCCAGGTTCCGGACTGCATTGCTAAAGCATTTTAGAGCTGGTTTGACCAACAAGCCAACGAGGAAGACCCTGTATATGATCTAGGCAAGAATAAATCTCTCTCTTGCATGTACAGCTTAAACCAGGAGCAGCGAATCTTGGGCACTCCGTTTGCTTTGGACTACCATTCCCATGGCCCTCTATCACTGGCAA